GCTGTTCCTCTCATTTGTAGCATTTATCAATTTCAAACTAGTTGCAGTTTTTTAAGATATCCTTCATCTTGCCTCTTATATATTTTTTTACCTTCATTTTAGGTGGGTTACACCATTCGTTTTGAGGACTGCACCAGTACGGAGACAGTAATCAAGTACATGACCCATGGTATGCTGCAGAGAGAGTGTCTGGTGGACCCGGACATGAGCCAGTATTCCCTCATTATGCTAGACGAGGCCCACGAGAGAACAATCCACACTGACGTGCTGTTCGGCCTCCTCAAGAAGGTATTTCACATTCTACAAACCATATGAAATTTTTCAAGAATAGTCACTGACCTAATTCCATACCAACAAAGCGTTTTCACGTGTAATAACTTTCTCTGTCTCTTGTAGACGATACAGAAGCGCAAAGACATGAAGCTGATCGTGTCCTCTGCTACACTGGATGCTGTCAAATTCTCCCAGTATTTCTTTGAAGCTCCCATCTTCACCATCCCAGGAAGAACCTTCCCAGTGGAGATTCTCTATACCAAAGAGCCTGAGACGGACTACCTGGATGCCAGTCTCATCACTGTCATGCAGATCCATTTAACAGAGCCCCCAGGTATGGTTTCTGAAATAGGATTCTCTAAGCCATCTTGAATTTAAGGTCACTGTTGTCCCGGTGACAACAGTCATGTTTTAAGATATTCTATACTTGTGTTGTTTTGTACATAAGAAACCTAGTAGTATCTCTATTGGGAAAAATGAATTTGCATCAGCTGTCATGTTTAAATAAAATCCTTTTTTCTCCCTGTCTTTTTCTCAGGTGACGTCCTGGTGTTTCTGACTGGACAGGAAGAGATCGACACGGCCTGTGAGATCCTGTACGAGCGAATGAAGTCACTGGGGCCTGATGTTCCTGAGCTGATTATTCTGCCAGTTTATTCTGCCCTGCCCAGTGAGATGCAGACCAGGATCTTTGATCCTGCGCCTCCAGGCAGCAGAAAGGTAATATGCAGGATAAAATTAGGACTAGTTTTACTGGTTAAAACCAGTTCCAGTTTTATTCAAATTCTAAAAAATACACTTCTCTAATGAATATAGTATGATAAGTGAGACTGTCACTCATTATAACACTATCTTTCTTTATTAGAATTCAAATATAGTCAACTTGAGATGACAAAATTGCCTTTTAGTAAAGTCTAGAACAGAGCAAATAGGTATTACATGCATCCACCATATAAATGAATTTGCTAACTTTTGTTTCTTTTGCTCACAACTAGGTCATCATTGCCACAAACATTGCTGAGACGTCTCTGACTATTGATGGAATCTACTACGTGGTGGATCCTGGTTTTGTTAAGCAGATCGTGTACAATTCCAAGACCGGCATTGACCAGCTTGTGGTGACTCCCATATCACAGGTCATTCATTTTAACACAATCTCAGTGTTTTTTATTCTAAGCTGATGAAATGAAAAAGCATCATTGGTTAGTGATTTGTTAGATGGACATCTCTTTCCTCATTAGTCCTTTAATAACCTCCTGGTTTCTTTTCAGGCCCAGGCCAAGCAGAGGTCAGGTCGAGCCGGCAGAACAGGCCCGGGGAAATGTTACAGGCTCTACACTGAGAGAGCCTACAGAGATGAGATGCTGACGACCAATGTGCCTGAGATCCAGAGAACCAACTTGGCCAGCACTGTGCTGTCTCTGAAGGTACAGTCCTTTTTGATCACACCTCCACAAATCAGTGGCTGTCTTTTTTTTTTTTTTTAGTTTTAGTTTTTTAGAAGTGGGCTGCTTTTGCCTCTGCTGGAAATCCGTCGTAAGAAATTTTAATTTGATTTCTCATTTCCTCCTGTGCTCTACTCACCTCCCTAGGCCATGGGTATTAATGACCTTCTGGCGTTCGACTTCATGGATGCTCCTCCCATGGAGACTCTGATCATAGCCATGGAGCAGCTTTACACTCTGGGAGCTCTGGATGATGAAGGATTACTCACACGGCTGGGTAGAAGGGTGAGAAGAATAGGAATAATTGCATTTATTATATTGGTGACAGCTATATTTATTGTATTGGTAGAGTCAGTGTGTGGTCTTAAAGAGCTTGAATCATCTAGAGAATAGATTTGTCCATTTTGTCCTTTGCTCCTTGTCTATGAAGTTAACTTATTGTACTGATCACTAGTTGTTGTCAATGTCAGGTTTACCTGTTTGTGTATGAGGTCCCCACACTTAACATGTTTTATATTACCTTCAAAATTGTGTTTTCCCACCTGTCTCTGTGGTTCAGATGGCGGAGTTCCCTCTGGAGCCCATGCTGTGTAAGATGTTGATCATGTCCGTCCATCTGGGCTGCAGCGAGGAGATGCTCACCATCGTCTCCATGTTGTCTGTTCAGAACATCTTTTATAGACCAAAGGTATGCAGCTAACACCTGATTTGACTTCAGTCTCATTCAGATCAGAATTACTTCTATAACACATACAAATACTTCCTTCATGAAAATTAACAATATTTTTTTTCGGGGGGGGGGGGGCATGATTAAAAGAAACAACACCTCTGTGAAATAACACACATATCAGACTCTGTTTCCTCAAAAAAACAAAAAACAAAATTCAGTCCTTCTATTTGCAGGACAAACAGGCCCAGGCTGACCAGAGGAAGACAAAGTTTTTCCAGCCGGAGGGAGACCACCTTACACTGTTGGCTGTCTACAACTCCTGGAAGAACAACAAGTTCTCCAACCCCTGGTGTTTTGAGAACTTCATTCAGGCTCGCTCATTAAAGAGAGCTCAGGACATCCGCAAGCAGATGCTGAGCATCATGGACAGGTAGTCTGCATATGAAATTTAACTGTGCTTTAACCATTTGATCTCCCCCTGTGTATTTCTTGTACTAAATAGAGCATGGTATTGAATTCCACTGAGTAACACTGATATAATTTAAAACAGAGACCATATTTTACTTTATAAAATGTGGAAATGGTAATTGATGTATAAAGATATGCGGCAATGTACTTTTAATATATGTCAAGTCTGAGGTAAACAATCACTCAGTAATTAACCTCAATCAAACTATATAATCTGTACAATGTCTTATGAAAAACTACAGGTATACAAATATTAAATGAGACTAAATATTTCTTAGACACAAGCTGGACGTGGTGTCTTGTGGGAAAAGTACGATGCGGGTCCAGAAAGCTATTTGCAGCGGTTACTTCAGGAACGCAGCCAGGAAGCACCCTCAGGACGGGTACCGTACCCTGATTGACCAGCAGGTGGTGTACCTCCACCCCTCCAGCACTCTGTTCAACCGCCAGCCGGAGTGGTGAGTCCTCATTGTTGACAAGATTTTAATCCATATCCCAAAAAACATTGTTTGAGTCTTACTTAGAGCTGTTCTGGTTGTGTCTTCCTGCAGCTTGAGTGATCAATTTGTATGGATTTCTTGTATAATCATCATTATTGCTGAAATGATTAATCAACAGGAAATTAACCAGCTTGTCACTCTTTAGCATTTACTGTTTTTCTTTGTGTAGTTAGAATATCTTTGGGCTTTTATATTTTACTGTTTTCTGATTAATCCATAGATCTGAAAAAAAGAATCCATGAATATAGATAAAACTAATGATGGTTTTCATTAGCGATTAATGATATGGTGATATTTTCTTAACTAATTGATTAACTGAACTGACTGAAATTATTGGTTTATTAAAATAGTTTCCGATTAATTTTCCATCTGTGGACAAATGTATTAAACGACTAATCATTTCAGCTGTATTAGTCATTTATTATTGAAACTAATCATTAGTTGCAACCCTAATCATTATTAACTGTATTTCTGTCCTTGTTATTCTTTCTTCAGGCTTGTGTACCATGAGCTGGTGTTGACCACCAAGGAGTACATGCGGGAGGTGACTACCATCGACCCTCGCTGGCTGGTGGAGTTCGCCCCGGCTTTCTTCAGAGTTGGTGACCCAACACGCCTCAGCCGGCAGAAGAGGATGCAGAAACTGGAGCCTCTCTACAGCCGCTACGAGGAGCCCAACGCATGGAGGATCTCCCGGGCCTTTAGACGACGCTGAGGATGCTTCAGGCTTATACCAGGTGGACATACTGTGTAGAACAAACGGCTGAAAAAGACACTTTGGTCTCATATTTTTAATTTTGCGTTGCCAAAGCTAAAACTTCGACCAAACCTTAATAAATTGTCTTATGGAATAGGAATGTTTTAATATTTAACTTTCTTTATTCACTTCAGTAATACTTAAATTAGCCATGTTAGCTATGTCATTACCATTGTTAGATATTAACACCTGAACTGGTTAACATTTCCTATATTGTATTTTCTATGAAATGTTTAATGTTTAAATAATTTAGAAATGTTTTTAATCATTGACGTTAGTTTTTCATCATTTCGGATAAACACGGGATGCAATCTTATCTGCTGCTGCGTTTTAACTCTTCACCGTCTTGTTTGCATGAATATTGGCAAATATGAAATATTTATTTGATGCGTGCGGTAGATGTGTTAAGACCAAATGCTGTTTCGGTTAAAGTAATAGTTTCAAATGTTGTGAAACTTGCTCATCTGCTTTCTTTTAGAGTTAGATGAGAGAATTTATGCCACTTTCCTGTCTGTGTGGTAATATGACGATACTGCTAGTAGCCGGTTAGCTTAGCAGAATGGCTGGAAATCCTTGCCAACACCAGAGTGTAAAAGTGAGTGAGGCTAGCTGTTTACTGTCTTTATGGTAAGCTAAGCTAACCGATTGCTAGTTTAATATTTACCACACAGAGATGAGAGTGGTGTCAATCTTCTCATCCCTCGGGTAGAAAGTGAATCAGCATGTGTCTTAAAATGGTAAATTTAAACAGCCTGAGCAGTTAAATCACATATTTATAAAAACAGGTTTTGCCCACCATAATCCTCCTCGCTTGTAAAAAGGTGAAAGTACCCACATGTGGCTCACAACAAAAACACAGAAAAGAATAGTCCGGACTTCAGTTTGGGTATTATTATGGGTATTTATTAAGCAATCTCTTCAACCACAGTCATGTTTATGGATTGAATAGGCCTCAGATGTGAGAGGAATGCAGCTCTTAAAAACAAAACAAAACAAAAAAAAAATCCCTAATGAGATTAATTTAAAACAAAAACACCATAGCCTTATATACAAGTGGATGGGGTGGGCATGTGCAAGAGGTGCATGGGGTTTCGGGGTGTGTATGATGATGGGTAGGTACAACAGGAAGATTTCTGAAGGCGGGGAGAAAGGAGAGAGAGTCGGGGGCTGGCTTTAGTACATGTAGCCTTTGGAGTAGGGCTGGGGGCCCATGTTTTGGGGGGCTTGTTCCGTGGTGTAGGGCACTCCCTCGTCCAGGTGGGACAGGGGCACTGTGTCCTCCTCGTTGACGTAGCGCTCAAACTCGGCCTTCAGGCTGGGCCGCTGATTGTCGGGGAAGGCCAGGGAGATGAGGGCCTCGGGCTCACAAACAAACTTGTAAACATAGCGCTCCCCTGCCACCTGGAGAGAGAGAGGGGAGGGCTTGAGTCATATAGGAATGCATGTTAAAAAAACAAAAAAACTAAGCTCTTTTTTTTTCCCCAGGTAAGCAGACTTTTCAGTTGCCTGTTTGAGTTGCATAGGTGTGTAACACAAATCTTACTGTCTGTCTATATTTAGATATCCAGTAGAGGATCAGATCTGCGTCACAAAAGTGCAGTGACCCAGTTATCGTCTGACAAAAGCCACTCAGCTGTGATTGATGGTGATTTTAGTGAGATTAATAAACATTTAATTTGACTCATACCGTACGCCATTACACAAATATGGCCACTGCAACTCTTTTAAACTTACTTCTTTCTACAAATGTACACATTAATGTGTATCTTCTAAACCTCAGCTGATGTGCAATTATGAAATGAGACTAAGGTTGATGCTTGATGCCTAAGAGATTGAGTAAATGTATTACCCTTTTCTAATAAGTAACTCTAAACTCAGGGAATTCATCATTTAAAGTTTGTCCTTTTCTCTCAATATTATAGTATTTTAAACTTTTCTGTTGCGCAAACCTTAAGTTTGCTTAAGTTTCCTTCCATATGTATTCATAGTAGGATAACTAGAACAGGTCCACTTATATGATTTTATACTATGCTTTCTACTTTATAAAGTGATTATAAATTGTAATTATTGGCTTTTTAAGGGTTAATGATTTATAAGGACAACTTTTGGGTTGCCAGTTTGTGGAAAATGTCTCTTAACTGGTGTTTATCCTCCTCCAACTAAATTTGCATTTGTCTTCTTGGCTTGCACTTAAATCCACGACCCCTCCAACGAACCAGTCAACCACTTACTTTCTGGAAAAGTTGCGCAAAGCATCTGGATCACAGTCCATTTATTCGTGGCTTGTTTACAACTGCACACTTGATTGGCTGTTGTAAAAACCTTTTATGCATGACTTTCTAACATTTATAACTGCAGACCTGATGGCCTAGTAAAAGGTAAGAAACCCTTGAGGATTGAAAGTGTCATACAGGAGGATGAGGGTAGGTTTCCTTATTGTTTCCTTAAATGTAACTGACCTATTAACTTTTTTTTAAAACCATTAGTTACAACTTATAAACCTTTTACAAAGCGTGCCATGTTGGAAAGTGATACTATAAAGTGAACCATGATATAACTTGAGGTTTTGTGGACATTAATGGCAAAATTTAGAAGATTATAATACCTGAAACATAAGGACAATATTAATAGTAATATAAAAAGGATGTGTTTTGTACCTTCTGCATGATTCCCTTCTCGTAGTAATAGCGCAGAGAGCGACTGAGCTTGTCGTAGTTCATGGCTGGACGGTTCTTTTGCATACCCCACAGCCTGGCAACCTGAGGGGAGAGGACAGCAGAAAGGAAATGGTTGTGGTTACACTTATGGCATAGTTCAGCTTTAGTGAGGTTCATTTAAAGGTGAGTGGGTATTTCTAAGCTTTTGAAGTTCTGAAAAATATAGCCTTACTCAAATGACACGTCAACATTTGAGAATTGTTTGCGTCAGCTTTTTTTTTTTTTTTTTCCTGAAGTTCATATTCCCAAAATCATAATCAGACACAGTTGTTTCTAATTCCAAGCTGTGGCCACTAGGGGTCCTTGGTGACAAGTCAAAGTCTTCTCTGCTCCTTAACTCAGCAGCGTCAACACGCCAAGACCAGGGCGAGTCCCCACATGTGGATTCACTTCCTTTTTATGTAACCCATTACCACTTGAATGCAACCAGAGTCCCACAGTGTTCGCAGTGAAATAAGAGTCATGGCTGGTTGTCAGAGGCAGACCATGAAACACAGCCCCAACCCAAAATTGAACTCTCAGCTGATGAGGGACCACTAACTCGGATAGAAAATTAGCATCTCACAACAACCCCGCACAGGCAAGGGGAAGTAAATGAAGTCACAATAGGCACCGAGCCTCATGTTGACAAACATCTCAGACCCTGGAAGAACAGTAAAGCTGGGGGGAGGGACGCTGAGAGTCATGACTCATGAAGAGACAGGTCGTATCCCACAGTGGCCATCCAGCCAGCAGCCCTGTTTGATCTCTGAGTGTGCTCTCAGCCCTAATTGCTCTTGTAAAACTCTTACCCCCATTCATTATTAATGTACAGTAAAAAGATAATGGAAAACACAGTATAGTCCTCTCCATATTAGGACCCGCCTAAAAGGACGCTCTGTCTGATAGGTCCAATCAAATTGCAGACTTAAACATCGCAAAAATGTCTGGACTGAAGAAATGTGAGGAGGTGAGAGAGAACCGGGGTGTTGGGTGATTCTGTGATAGCGCTTGTCCTTCATTTATCAATCCAGCGTTTCATGTGTTGAATAATGAATGGGGAACTAATGGAAGATGGATCAGAGAATAGAGCTGCGAGGAAAGTGGCCAAATCTCACTTCTAATCGCTCTAATCTAGGTAGCGCCTTCAAACCCTGCTAACATAAATCCATTCCCAGAATAACTCTTCTGCTGACCTTATCAGATTTATATTAACGTCATGATTTCTATGAACACTTCTCCACTATCCCTTGATGAGCACATACAGTAATATAGACAAAAAATATTACTGATGCATTTTGAATGCTCCATATATTTGAGATGAGACTATGGCCTAGAGAGATCCTTACACTATTCAACAACAACAGAGCAAGAAAATGATTGTAATTTTTTCACAGTTAACGCACCGTCCCTTTTCTTTGGTTTCACACCACCATCATGACAAACCAAATGCAATCTAAATGCATAAGGTTACTGTACTGAATTCAGTTCAAAAAGTCCCAGCTTCTCTCTCAAAATCACAAGCATTACATTTTCTTTTCCCTCACAAAATGTTCTGACCTCAATATCTAACCAACAGCCATAGTGGTCATTTTAAAAATGTTTCAATAAAAGATCTTAAAAAGAGACTGAGTGTATTTGCTTGATTAACAGGAGTCTTGGCCTATCACACTGGATCTGCTGGTTTCAGTAAACACAAAGATGTGTGTGAGCAGTAAAGAAATATACAGTAGTCACAGCCTCTACATTCATTTATAGTCATTACTCATGATACAGTGAAGGATCTGCTTTAAACAGGCAGAATACTGCACCTGTTCACATAAAAAAAGACCAGTTACTATGTTTAAATTACTCTAATTAACCAGTGAATTTCTGTATGGCACCACCCCCACTCCTGCTGTTTTTCCTTGTTAATGTTCTCTTGAAAGATTAAAAAAAAAAACACTGATTAAAAGAGATTGGTTCAGACAAACCTCTTCAGGTTCAATGAGTTTGAACTCCATGCCGCGGCCGGTCCAGGCGATGAAGTGGGCATTACCCGGGTCGTCCAGCAGGGCCACCAGAAACTGCCAGAGCTGCAAAGAGCCACGGCGCTGGTAAGGTGTGCCCTCACGAAAAACGCCACCCCCCTCCTGCTTCACCTCACCTGGAACGAGGAGAGAACAGACTGGAGGTCAGCAAAATGCTTTCTTTGTATAATAAAAAGGGACTGTTACTGAACTCTTTGTTGCTTTGATTGTGATTTTGTGACCAAGTTTATTTGATATTTGATACATTTGCAGCACATTAATCTACATCAGACCATTAAGCTTCAATCATTAAATTAAAGTCTAACATGGTTCTTATGTTACATGTGAAAACAAGAAAAGTTTGTAACAGCTGCAAAGCATCTGAATTCTAGAGGGGCCAGTACATCAGCAGGTCATCTAATCTGATGTTTCATGTTTGCAAACTGACGTAAACTGAATGAACTGCTTACTAACAACGGCTTATCACTAGAAAGGCAGCAGTGTGTTGAGTAGAGACGGAAACAGAGGGGAGATTTCAGAGGACTGAGAGATGAAATTAAAAGCATGAAGTGGCTGCACAGTTATTTGAAACAAAAACAATACCGGGTGAAGCAATATGTGCGTAAACAGACACTAATTCTCGTTTGGTTCTCGGTTGTTTACCGGTTATTGGATATGTTGCACACAAGTGTGGGAACACGAGAGGCTGTGCTAAGTTACTGCTGTTGTCTCTCAGAGAACTTGCACACTTCACTGGTTCAACCAGTGCTGACACCCTTGGGCTCTCCACTCAATCTCTTTTAGTGTCAATCACCAAAAACACCATGGGAGACTGCATGTCTCTGTTCTCGGCGTGACAGGGGAGCCCTACATTGTGTGCACGGAGAAACCAAACCCACTAACTAAGTTTCTGAGAACACAAAGACCCATGTAGCTCTTACACAAGGCTCTCTGACGTCTATATAAGATGATCGTCGGGTATAGAGATCGGAGTGGGTGACTGTACGGATAGTGTTTCTCTCCTATAACGCCGTCATCTAGACTAACACCTCGACAAGTGGACTGTGGTGTGTGAATGCAGAGGGATTATGGGCACAGCAGGCCTACCTTCGAACTTCTCTGGAACCACACGGGAGTCATTTTCAAACAGATAGCCTGGAAGACAAGGGAAGAATTGTGTTTAGGTTTCAAGGGGCCTTGATCCCAGCACAACTAGGTTGTTCATTTGGGATCTGTGCCAAGCTTTGAATACCAACCCAACAAAATACAAGGACCTATTCACGCATGAATAACGTTAAGCCAATAAGTGTGTACTCTGCTTTTACAAAAGTGGACCAGAGCACTTCAGTAACAGGGAAAGGATTTCATAGTGGAAACATTTAAAGGGTCTTGGATCTTTGCTCCCAGTTTCAGGGCCAATTAACTTATTTGTAACATCTTTCAGGCCTTTCACAGTCATTTTGTTCTGAACACAATTGGTGAATAAGAATTTGAATTACCCAAAATGGTGTGACAAACAATGGGAGTAAGAGGAGGGATTGTTTTCCTTTTTTCGCCGGGGAAATAAGTGTGCTTTTTTCCAGGAGTTATGTTTATTCAGGGATTCTTGAGGCAGGGGTGAGCCGAGAACCTCTGCCAATGGAAACATAGGCACACCGCTGGTTAGCCAATGGAAACACGGACACTCTACGCCGGTTAGCCAATGACCACAGAGCTCTAACCAATGAGGGCTCAGTGAAGATAAAGGGATGAAGAGGAGGAGATTGGACACATTTGGTAGCAGAATTTGGAGGTGGTTCTAAAAGGGGCAAAATATGAAGGTTATTACAACATAAGTCAAAGAAAGTCTAATTACCTTCATTGCTGTGCTGGGGGTTTGGGTAGCCCTCACTGTGGTGGTACATAGAGGGGCATCCAGGCACATCTGTGACAGAAACACAAACAGCTTTAAGTCAAAAATGTGTTTATTTCAGCAGATTAAAACTTTGCGTTTTAACAACCATCCAGTTAAAGTGGCAGAATAGAAACGGCACACAAGGGGTCAATTGTTAAAGAATATTTACGTGGAGTAAATTTAATCATTAGTTGGAGTGCTTGGAGAAACCCAAAACGAACTTATTGCTTACTAAGCCAATATCTGCATGAGAAGATGGCTGCAATGTACAGATATTTTGTGTGATCACCCTGAGCATTGCAAGGACGAATGCTGCATTTATCATATCACTTCTCTTGTCTCTGGCGGTATTTTTAGGCCATGAACAAGCACCTTCACCAGACCAGAAAAGCGGTACAGTATACAGTGTCTGCACTTTGTCTGGGCACATCATTGACTGTCTCGAATAGCCGCATTCACCAAAATAGATTTTTATATTGCTCCCCGTAAAACCTTCAGGCGAAATTCTGTGCAAGCTGGGACACTTGTAACGCACCTTTAATGTGTTATTATGAGCTCTGCGAGAGCATTGTGTTCAGTTTCCTGTGACTACTCTGCTCACCTTTGTGTGTGCGTTTATTTTCTTTTTCTTTGGCTATTTGCGGTAATTAAAAAAAATAGGTGTGTCACTGACTATTCTGTATGTGTTTGTCCATTTGTCTGTCAACTGTTGTGAACGACACAAGCGAGAGAATAAAAAACTGAAAAGGTGCAGCTCTTTGCCTCTGGCTCTGGCTGTGACTCACTCCTGGGGAATGCAGCTGCAGCGCTGCGACTGTGATAAGATGCCAGTGGGGAAAATCAAACCCTCCATTCCGGGGCAGCGGCACTCGATCATACTGTAAATAATATGTCTGCCAGAAATGGCAGGGCCCCCACCAGGGAGCGATGGGCAGATTGGGTGTGAGAGCACCGGGCTTAATTGTGTACTCAGTGGCATGACCGTTTTGCGTCTTTCATGTGACAAAATAGCAGTGATTACACGATGGAATGGCATTTCATATGTGTAACTAGGAGTCTCTTTCTTTAGCCTGCTTTTAAAATAGGACTTGGAGGCATTTGTCTGTCATAAAAGAAAAACACTGGTGGTGTTCTCTTTACAAGCTGTTTACTTCAATACACCTCTTTTGTACGCTCTATTGCCATTTCACCATTTACATGCCTGTTACCGCACAATTTGGGAAGGGTTTTTCTTTCAATTAAATGACCATAAATGAATGACATTATAAATCAACAGAAAATAAACAACACTCGCCGGAGCTGATGTGGCAGTGTTGCTTTTATAAACCATTTAAATGCCTATGATTTAGTTTGCAGGGAGCATTCATTGAAAAGCTCTTTAACACAAATTATCCAATTAACTGCCTGAACGAAACTATATTTTCACTGAGTCTGCTAATTAAATTTACATTATTCCATTTATATGGTCATAGATTAAGGTTTCTCATTCATACTCATGCTTTTCATTAGATATTTTTTAAGACTACCTGGCATCCCATGACTAATCCCTTCAACAAATTCATATTTTTATTTTTGCCTCACATCATCCATTGCATACAAACAATTCCATACACTGGGCATTGAGAAGGTCTGCTCATAAAGGGATAAAAGAATTGAGTGAAATAGATTCTTATTCTCCAGACATTAATTTGACAAAAGTATCTCCAAATGTTCAGCCCCTGTAACCCTGCACTACCTATCTCGTGAAAAGCGTGGCGCCTTTGCAGAAATGTGGAGGTCTGCAACAACAGAATGATAAACTCTGATCTTTCATGTGTGATCCGCTTCTGCAGTCGGTCAAACTCATATCAGAGACACAGGAAACTCCACCAAATTCAACTTTCTCCTCCTCCCTGCAGTTATCCACACAAAAACATCCTTTTGTACTTTCCCTGTCTTCCTCAAGGTTGTGTGATTCCTTGTCAGTGTTATCCCCCACCCCCCACCCTTCCCATCAAAGGTGAGAGTATAAAAACATAGTGAAAAGAATTAGGTTGCTTTTTTCCTGGGGTTTTTTATTATGCATAGAGGATGCAGGTTTCAGTGCTGGAAGGCATGCTTTGTAGCCATCCACCAGTGTGCACGGAGGCCCCTCAACAAAAGCATTGTACACTGTCAGTCCTACAGCAGCTCTTACACAGGTGACTGAGGACAGAATGTATGTGCAGTGTTATATTTCTCACTCCGTCTTGTTTTAAACCTCGGAGAGCAAAGCGGAGGAGCTGGTTTCTGTGCTCTCCAGTGGTTGATCTTGTTGTTTAAAGACCCTGAGCTGGCCACCCCACCCCGCACCCATCACCCCACCACTCCTACCACTCCCTCCCCTCACCCTCTCCCAAAAGCCCAGCCAGTGAAGGGTTCGGGTTACTGCGGCCATGCTCATTTTTCCATTATGAGTTCATCTGCCTGCAGAAAAAGGAAGCCGCTGGTGCAACCTGAAACCCTGGAGCACTCCACCGGGGACTCTAGTCTTTCCAGTGCCCTCCATTTTCTCAATGAAATTCCTCTGCCTCTCTCTCTCTCTCTCTCTCTCTCTCTGTCTCTCTCTTAGAGAGCAGTGCAGGAAAGGAGGGAGGGAGGAGTGTAGCTGCAGCAGAAAAAAAAAAAATACTTTTTTTCTTTTCTTTGCAAAGTGTCAGAGAGTTGAAAGGAGGAGTTTTGGAGGCGGGGAGGGAGTCGGGTAGAAGTCTTCATACAGTGAAGAAGTTTGTTTTGCCATTTGGACATTTTGTTCTTGAGTTAGCTGCCCACACTGGGGAGGCTTTTCTTTAAAAGGGACTTTTTTGTGTCAACGCAATTCAAACATCCCTTGAGAAACACATAAAAAGACTCCAGTTTCATTTCACAGGTACATGCCATATTTGCTTCACCCTCTTAAATGCTAAAATTTGATTTTATAACACAAATGAGTTTGAACTGATCCTTGATATTTCTCTATGACTCTAAATTACAACCCAAAACAACTGCCATTCATTGTACTTTTTTGGTTCCACATTTCCAGTCTGAGAGTTAATTGAATATCCCCCAGCAGGACTGAAACAGTTAGTCGATAAATAGGTTTTTCAATTGCTTTTTGTTCATTGATTAATCATTTAGTTAATTTAACAAACGCTTGCTGGTTCTAGCCTCTCAAATGTGAGGATTTGCTGCTTTTCTCTGTTTTCTGATAATTCATAGACTCAATGATTAATCAGAAGAATAATCAGCCACAGTTCCCCGGTGATAATATTTCACCCACAGGATGTGAAGCCAAAAGTGACTCCTCCTGCAGCATCATGTTTAAGTATCATCTGTATCACTCACCAGGTTCGTAGGTGTAGTCTGTGGGCTCCTGCTTGACCATCATGTGGGCTGGTGGGAACCGGTGTGGGTGTGGGTGTGGGTGTGGGTGTGGATGTGGATGTGGGTGGGGGTGAGATCCATGACCATGGCTGTGGCCGTGTCCCGGCCCGCTCCCATGCCCAGGCCCCGCCATGTGAGCCGCCCGCTCGTACAACGGGTCCAGGTATTCTTGCTTAAAGCTCTGCTGCAGGTAGGGCATGCAGGGGTCAGAGTGCTGCCGATGATAACCCGCACTAGCACCACCGCCACCACCACCACCACCACCGCCGCCGCCACCTCCTCCTCCTCCTCCTCCACCCCCTGGCCCTCCACCGGCTCCACTGCCGCCATGTCCTGCTGGTGCAGATGGCATACGCTGAAAAGCTTGCCCTGGTGGGGGGAACTGGGGGCACATGGGGTCTCCTGAAGGGCCCTGATACCTGGAACTGAGAAATAAGACACAGCAGCTCAGTTTAGGAACTGTACTGTATTAATCAATGCAACACTTAAATAGTTCCCAAGATTCTTTTCCACATTGTTGGAGATTTTTCTGTGACTTGATGGAACAAATTTTAATTATACAAGTTTTAATTAATAAAATAAGACTTTTGCTTGGATATAAAAGCCGTAATCCAGGGTGACTCTACTGGAAACTTTGTATCTTTGTAACTCTGTGTCACAAAATCAAATTGTCATTATTTAATTCTAGTTTATAGTTTAATGCAAAAATGAATAATTGGATGTGTAATATAGCCATATAAACCCCAATGTCTACAGTTAAAATGTCATCAAAAGCGAATCTCCTTCCACTCAGAGCTTACACACCATTTGCTGCTCTGGAGAATAATGTGTTTCCTTTAAAAGAAATTTGTAAAATATCATGCAAGTGGTAAAAATGTCAATCGCAGCTGCCGCCCGGATTTTTCTGGTGTGTCACCTGGTGTTGATGGGGTAACTGTTGCTGGGCAGCGGCTGGGTGGTGGCAGCAGGGTTCATGTAGCCAGCATCGGGCCGTCCGGCTGTGGCAGGTTTCGGGGAGTAATGCTGCTGCATGGGAGACATGGGGGTCCCTGGGCAGGAGCTCTTGGCTCCTCCTGCAGCCCTTTTCTGCTCATAGGCACTGTGAATGAAACATAAATGAACGCACTCGTGAGGACACGCATCCGTGCACATGTCATAACAGGGCCGCAACTGGTTTTACCAGGTTTTCTTTTTCAGTCAATACAACAAACAGAGCTAATGGGAGTTGGTGGGTGGGGGTTCGGTGGTCAATAGCATGTGATCAGTGTTTTAGCTGCGCTGACTTATTCATGACAGCAGACCAGTGCTGGGTCATTTAAAAGCATAGCTGTTGTTGAGCTGGGTAAAATAAAGAAATTATTGTTTCATTTATTTTGCCCTTGGTAACAATGGATGTCAGTAATTAGGCAGGGAGACAATAAATCAGCACCACCATGAATCATTGGCCTAATTTAATTTGGACAAGTTTCCAAATTAAAAAAGCCTGGTACATACAAGAATTAAGAGGAGGAAGAGACAAGCCTTCTCTTTGCTTGCTTTGAGTACCCAAAGGCTGTGTGTGAAGAACACAGAAATGAATGACTTTCTACTGAAGAAATAGTTCCTTTGAAAAACGTTTGGCCGTATGTTCTGTGGATTATCCAGAGTAACCAGGAAACTAGTTTCCAGAACAAGAGGCTACAGTAGATTTTGTACATGCAAATTTCCACATTGTCTGTTGATAGATTTGCAGATTTTTTTTTTTTTTTTTTTTTTTTGCAGAAACCAAACTATCTGCATGGCTAGACAGCACTCGAGGGGTGAACTGAGCCTTTAATATAAAACCACTGTGAGGTTTAGAGACTGTGATTCTTCTCGTGAGGAGAACGTGGACGAACCTGGCATAAAGGCACTGCTCTCCATTGGGGTAGCTGAAGCTCTGCTTGTGGCTACAGGACTGGCTGGGGTCAGAGCCTGGGCTCTGCGGTTCCTTCTTGATAGTGACTGGAGGGCTGTGAAATGCCACCGCTATAAGAGACAGTAAACAGAAAACAGAGGTGAGGGTTGGCACACACACACACACACACACACACACAGTGGGCTTTGTACATCCTCCCCTCATTCAGCCCTGCCCCGATACTACTGTCGTTAGGCTCAAAGGCAAAAGCAAATACTTCTGTCTGCACAGGAATCTCCTTTACGTGCCAGGCAAAATGCTTAAGTGACTGTCAGCTGCAAAACACAGGGCAGCAGACAGACACGTATAAATACACACACACTGAGAGGAACGAGCGCACAAAAACACACACGCTCACACACGACTGCATTCCAGCATTCATTTGGAAGTGTCCTCGCCCACTTTTCCTCGCTCCTCCAGACACAACAGCAGCCAAAACTTCCTCTGTCAAAGTCAAGCTTAAAGCTAAACAACTCTACGGGCCAGAGAGATGTCTGTGGACTGATGAAAGCAAATGTCACACCTCTGTTAGAACAGCATATACACTGATTGTGCGTCTCAGCATTCTTTCCTATTGGTATCCAGATGTTAGCCATTGCTTGTACGCTTTGTCTTTTGCCTTTGTGCAAAGAGGGTAACACGAAAGAGCGTGTGATAATCTGATAATGCCACGTATTCCCACAAAGTCCAAAATATTTAGCAACATTTTTACCACTTGATGCTCCCCTAAAGGCATCCACTCGATGTCCAGCAGACCTAACTGTCTGTCAAGCTGGACTGCCGGAGGGGACCTTTGCCTTGACGGCCACAGAAACCACCCAAAGTGGAGCTTCAAACTGCGCCGAGGGCTTGTGTTTATTATATGAGGGGAGGTTTTCACCCGGAGAACTGTACAGGATGTTTTTCTGGTCCCGACAGGGTAAACAGCAGCAGCTGTGCACTTCCAGCTGGGGAGGCCTGTATTTATGTGTGCGCATGTGTGCATGAGAGTGTGTTAGTAATCTCAGCGAGTCTGTATCTACTTGTGCACTTGTGAATGTGTGTGTGTGTGTGTGTATAACTGCTTAAAAGTGCATATCTGTGTGTATGTATGTGTGTGTGTGTGTGTGTGTGTGTGTGTGTGTGTGTGTGTGTGTGTGTGTATGTATATGTGTGTGTGTGTGTGTATGTGTGTGTGTGTGTGTGTGTGTGTGTGTGTGTGTGTCTGCAGTGGGTGTGGAGCTGACGGAGCAGGCCACACTGAAAGCTCAGCCCAGGTAATTACATACTGTCGTCCATTCACAAAAAAAAGGAGAAAAAATGTCTGGCTGACTGTATAAGGCCCAAGACGACTGCTCCGCTAAAGGCGAGAGACAGAAAGTGAAAAAACGAAGGAGGAAAAATAGAGTGAATGAAAAAGATTATAGTGACAATACCACAAACAGCCTTGAGGTTCTGCTGTTATACTTGCTTTTGTGATTTTCCTTCAACTCTCAACTTTGATAAAGTTGTCTTTAAAGCTGCCCCTGGGGTAGAAAGCAGAGATTTAAAGGGGTTTGATTTAGTGCTGACACGATACAACAAACAGATGTGAGACGTCACTTTGAAGTCACCATTTTTGGGTGATTTATAGACTCAACAATTAACTGTTTAATCAATAAATAAATAAAAAGCAGTTTAATCAGTAATAATAACTGTTAACTGCTGCCTTTCATTCTGTTTCCCTGTATTACAAATACTTTTTTTTTTTTAAATGAGTATTCAGAGACAGTGAGTAAGTAGTGAAGACTGTTAGATCCCTGATCAAACACCTCTGGTGGGTTGTGATTCATGAACACCTACGTAAACTTGTGCGCTAAAAAAAGCTTCAATATTTAAAGATTCTTAAAGTTATTTCTGCTTTGAAAAGTAGAAATTCCTTCCTGACGCTAACCAGGTGTTTATATGTCTCTGAACCCGTTTGCTCTGAGGGAGAATTTGGAGCACGTATGAGATGATAAACATGAGTCTAACAATCAAACCAGCGCTCCTCGTCCTATTTTTGGTTTGTACTCATTCTCCCATGGCAGGCAGGCAGGTGAGGAAGTGTTGGCTTTAGCAGAGGATCAACAGGATTAGAGAGCATTTACCCAGATTTCCCAGACAGACGGGATGGGATTCCAGCCTCCTCTAAGTCTCCGACAGCTCGTCTGCCAATACACACAGGGTGGCACATGACTGCTGCGCTAATAATACTAGTGAGTTTGTCTATTGACATTCCCCCCTTTCTCTGCCATGGTCATGAACTGCAAACAATCCTCAGAGAGTGTACACAAGTCCAGTCACAATGTGGCCAAGTAGAGCCACTAATGTGAATGGCAGGAATATCGCCCTTGATGAGGCTCTTGGTTTATGAGGATGTTCTATTTCAAAGGGCCCGGCCTGGGAACGGCGTCAGCTGTATACGGAGGGGTTTGTGTGTGTGTGTGTGTGCTCTGTTTGTGTGTGACCTTTCCAGAATATTAATTAATCTGGTAATTGAGCATCAGACGGCTTTTTGTGTTTGTGTTTTTGCCTGTGATTGTGATTGCTGTTGCGTGCGTTTCCAATTAGACAGAGTTGGTTGATGTTCTGGGTGACAAATGCTCGAACAAAGAAAACACCAATTTCAGCACTAAACACAAAGTGCAGATGAGGTTGATGGGAATGTCATTACTTTTGCAGGTATTTGCTCATAAACCAAAGTATAAGACACATTTAAAATTTGTTAACAGCGCTGGAAAAAAGTCAGGGCATCACCCAATTCATCCTGAGAGGGACATGAGTCACTGTACCAAATTTAATGGCAGTCCATGCGACAGTTATCAAGACGTTTCACTCAAAACTAGAAATGTCAACATGGTAGTGCTAAAGGATAAATAATAATATCAGTTAAAGATAAAACTTTGACCTGTTGGTGGCACTGGATGAAAAGCCAGTGGTTTAGGATTCATCCTCTGGTGACCATAAATATCTGTACCAAATTTAATGACAGTCCTCTCAATTGTTGTTGAGATATTTCAGTCTGGTCATTTCTAAAGCCGTGCTGCTAATGTGCGTAAAAGCATGATTTTGGAATTAATGTAACATCCAGGTCCAAGAATAGTCCTTAAATTAAAACAAACTCCGGTCTCCACCAACTATAACAAACTCTCTGGCAGATTACAGTTAATCTCCCTGTCCAAATGATGTCAAATTTTCTGCTAAAGTTTATAAAGTAGTGGCAAGTCTTGTAAACGGATCCAGGGAGAGTTATGTTCTTCAGGGTCCCTTCTCTTCCTGCTTTTATTTGGGGCAATATGACCTGCTCTAACTGCTTTGTTAAATGTTACATCACCCTTTCACAGAGATCCTCATGTTTCATAGCCTTCTCTTCTACACCGGGGGGGGGGGGGGTCTGCTCATGAACTTAAGCAAAGAGTGTGAAGAAACCTGAGAGGTGTTTAGAAGTGAAAAGACAGATACAGTACACAGTAGCTGTTGCCTCTTAAGTCGGACGATTTTGAGCTGATGCAGAAGTGTGTAGAGTAAAGTAAAGTATATGCGAGTATTTATGCCTCGGCATGCTCGTGTCCCTGTGGGTGAATGTGTGCAGGTTCTTCTTCAGCATTAGGCGGACCGCGGCAGATTCCCAGCACCTCCTCAACTGATAAGGTCAAAGGGTTCTTCCTCACTCCAAACTCATCTTATCTCCTACTTCCTTATTCTGGGGCATTCTTCACCGTCTCCCATTCACACCCTATTCTGAGCGCTACGTATGGAGATGACCCCCGGCTAAAGGCAGGGTGGAGATGGACTTTTACATATGTAAATGTTGGCTCTAAGAAGCGGAGGATGCAGGGTGAAAGGTGATGGTCATGGTTGAGTGCTTTAGGAAGTAGAGGGATCATTACATGGGGGGGGGTGGGGGTGCTATTCAGCAGACACCCACCGCAAACAAATCACAGGAGCAGGGATGGCCCCCCCCCCCCCCTCCAACACACACACACACACTCTTCTCTACACAGTGGGCCCCTCAGCTGAGCCATGTGGAGGAACGTGTGAACACGTTGGGAAACACTATTGGATTCCTACAAACAAAAACAGCGCTAGCAGAAAGGTTTGGTTTGTGCACAAATAAGGAAGTTGCTGATATGCTAAGAATAGAGAATTACAAGTTTGATTAATGTACTTTGAAAATCGAAAATTTCTAGATGCCTGGGAGAGACAAAATCAGGAGATTAAACTTTCATCTAAACATTTAATATCACCCATGAATGAGCCGTTTTCAGAAGTTTGACGAGACCTCGCTCTGAACTCCCCCCCGTCCTATTTTAGACAGAGTATTTCCTACCATTAAAGGCCCTGGTGTAGGGAAATCCAATCTGAAGACAGGAGTGGATCTGGAGAGTCTTACCTTGGACGTTTATGTGCAACTTGGCCAAGTCTTAAGCCTCTGGAAGTCTGTAGCACACGACAGCCTCGCTCACAATAACTCATTGGACATCAGCCCCAGTGTCAAACAGGGTGACTGGATCTTGCTAAACCAAGGAACATGTGAGCTTAACATAAATACGCACTTAATGGGTCCAATCATACAAATAAGATTCGAGTCGTACTCCTAGAGGGACCATCTCAGGGGTATCTGGAGATCTGGTTCTTATCTCACATGATATGTATTGTACATGTGCAGTGCGAGGGGCACGTGGCCTCCGTGTGCTGTGCAGACGCACTAAAAGCGAGCTAGAAACGTGTGATAGGCTACACCTGGTTCTCCCACTCTTTGCCGATTGATCTCTCGTGTGGTGATGGATCAATAAAAACAAGGATACCAATTATGCCACAATGGTTTTAACGGTTAAAAGGGAAGCTATTGATTCACACAGGCTGCAAATGACATTAGTTGCTTAGCTGAATACATGGCTCCATTGTGGTGAGAGGGAGGCATAATAGGCAAAAGCAACTGTATAATTTAAAAGTATTTGACTGTCAACACATACACTATAAGTCAGACGTAACCTATACTTTAACGGTAATTTTAACGTTTTGCACGCAGTGGTATGTTTTCCCTTCTCAGACCAAGTTTAGGTGCTAT